CCCACGGTCGGATTCAGGCCCGTAAAAATAGCCACTGCCTTTCTTCTTTCTCATCTTTCAGTTCGTTTCACTTCTTATAGAGATAACCTCTCAAGTTGGTTTATACATAGTTCAACGGCACCTGAGTCAAGGATGTGCATCGACAGGTTAAAAAGAAGAAAGAATTGATAAAGAAGTTGGTAGAAATTCCAGGTGGAGATCATCACGTCGGTAACGGTGGGTTTGTGGTTTGACGCCATTTTAATTTATGCGCACGTGATAAGCATGAAATAATTAACCCGACCACAAAATATCATAGCATAATGTAATTTTATTAATTAAGAAAAAAAGAAAAGAAACAAGTAAATAAAAAAAAACATTAAAAATGGGAAAACAGTAGGATTGAATTGGGAAAAAAGTTAGGAGACAAGATAAGTACTTGCAAACTGGTGTGGCAAGAAATCCTACTTTTTTTTATTTACTTGTATTGTTTATGGCTACATACATTTACATTATAATAATAGTTACAAGTATGAGCGAAGTAATACAATCCACATCAACAGCTACACCATTACCAACTACCAGTATGTGTTTTAATTTATTAATATCATTATTATTTAAGTTCAGATCCAGGTGGATCAGACAATATGTATACATTCAGTGTACACTGGTATAGGAGCTGGTGTAGCAGTGATTGTCATTGGTATACTAATAATACTCATTATTGTTGGTTGTATGATCTTGCAGTTGCATAAACCTTGGAAAGGAGAGAAAGGTCAGCACTACTCACTTATGTAAAGTACAGCTGCAATGTCTCATTATTTCTATAGAAAACACTACCCCAATTCAGTAATATGATACACCAACAGATACAGCGCAGGCGGTTCCTAATGTACCAGTTAGTATGAATACAACTTATGGAACAGCCACTGGTAGTAGAGGGGTAGTACATACTTCAGATAATGTTGCTTATGGTCAAGTGAGTACTACTAGTAACACTGGAGCAAGGCAAACTGATACTGTTGTATATGAAGCAGTTCAATAATGGAATGTGTCTGTTATTTGTAATGACATGTTCTTACTTTATCAATTTTTATTATTGTTTTGAAAACTGTACAACTGTAGACCAATTGTTTTCATTTGTTATTTTTAAAATTAGTTACTTTTATAGTTAGAAAAATCTATACTATAATCATAATAAAAAATTTAATTTTGATCGGAATCAATTCAAACTTGATATACAACATAAAAACATGTATATGTATCAAAAAAATTTATAAAAATTTAGATTTTTCTCAGAGCCATTTTTTGACAAAATTTAGCCGATGAGCAAAGGCTACAGCCTTGGGTTTTGACTAAATTTTGGAGCAACTTTAAAAATTCATAAAAATTTGCTTTTTATTAGAATCAACTCAAACTTGATATGCAACATAAAAACATGTATATCTATTTAAATTTTTTTCTTGGAGCCATTTTTGACAAAAATAATATCCTGTACATGGCTTTTTGCCCAATTTTTAGCAACTTTAAAAATTTATTAAAAAATCAGTTTTGACCAAAATCAGATCAAATTTTACACAACATAAGAGCATGTACATATGCATCAGAGAAAATTATAAGAATTCTCTTGAAGCCATTTTTGACAAAACACAATGCCATGGTCATTGACCAAGTTTTGATATCAATTCCTATTATTATTACCCCATCATGTTATAAATGTAAAGGCAGCAAACAATCATGAACATTAATAGCAATAATACTCACAACCTAATATTAATTAATGATCAAACAGTCAATTAATAACAGGAGGAGGAGGGGGAAGGGGAGCAAAAAAGGGAAACAATAATATAAGTACATGTACATGTAATAATACGTACAGCAGTTAAATCTACTAAAAATTAATGAGACACAGAGACTTCAGAGAAGAAGAGAAAGACAACAAGACAGCATGTTTATACTAGTTTAAAGTAGTTCAGTAACTAATAAATAATAGTTTCCATGGCTACCTCCCCTCACTCAGCGTTTCTAATGATGGCTCATATGAGAATACTGGACTTGATTACTGGTGTCCTTTGGTCTCTGGTGGCGTCCACTAGACGTTGAAGCACTATGATCAAGATCAGCATACTTGGTACCCTCTGGAGGTGGTGGCGCATTATGAGATGCTGCCAAATTTTGAATGGCAGAATATTCAACTGCTTCTTGTGAATGTGATATTGCTGGTTTAGGAGGAGCTTGTCTCTTAGAGGAAGATGATTTAGCAGAGTGGTATACTTGAGCATAATTAACGGCCTTGAGAAGAGAGAGAGGGAGGGAGAGAGAGGAAGGAGAAAGATCAATAAATAATATAAAAGCAAGCATTCACACAGACACAAACATTTGCTAAACCAGCTGCACAGTCATTGTCATAGTAACACATTGTTCAAAATAATAACAAGCAACATCATCACAATCACATTATTGCATCATCACATGAACACACACACACACATTCATTATGAGGACAATATTATATTATTTGTACATATAATTACAGATAATGATACCATAAAATACTACAAATTTCCCATTAAGTTAAAGACAACACAATAAACATAAAATACACTATACAAAAGGTTAAGATAACACCTAACAAAAACAAATTTTAAAATGTATGTACATGTACATGTATATGCATACAGGCGCAACTGCTAATAGATTATTTTTAAATTTATTCTCTTGAGAAAAATAACATTAGAAATGCAATATCATATCCTAAAGGTGACACTTTTAAAATGGAAGTGATAATACCGTATACGGCATATATTTCGCGGGTATAAAATTTCGCGATTTGACTGGATTTTTCTATTTGCAATTTTAATGTAATTACCACACCTACTATAGAATCAGCACACTATTTTGCGAATTTTAATTTTGCGAATTTTTCCAAAACGCGAAAATCGCGAAAATTAATCCCCGTGAAATATATGCCGTATACGGTACACACATACACATTATACAACTGTACATTAGTAATGCGGTAGCGTTACTAAGTTGAATTCACCTCACTTCAAAATGGCTGCCACGACTTTTGCAGCCTTGCTATACCGGGAAAACGAGCTCCTATGCTTACCAGACTTTATAGAGGACCTTATCTTGACCAGAGGACTCCATTGGTATTACTAGTGTGGCTCTAAACCTTGTCTGAGAGGAAAGCCAAAAATCCGGAAATCCGGGCCATTTTCAGCGGCCAGTGGCGGATCTGGGTGCAAGTTAATGGTAGGGCCAGAAAGTGGGTGTTTCCACTTTTCAACCAGTCATTTTATGGTTGGCCATTTTTATGATGGGTTTCAACAATTTCCTTATCTATGCAGTGCTTATAATGCTCTTCAAGCACTTGTAAGTACTCCGGTGTGGCTTGTGGTTTGCTTTATCAAAACTTGAGGCAGGGAATTGTTTACATTGCATCTAATGAATCTCATTACTGACTTCTGATGCCCGGGCCATGGCCCGTCTAGGCCCGGGCCCAGATCCGCCACTTTTTTCATCTTCATCATCATCATCATCATCATCATCATCATCAATTTAACTGAGTCCTGTCAATCCAGTTGTCGGTCTGTATCTCAACTTTGCTTGGTGATAGAAGGCTAATTCTTACACTATTCTACTCCAATAATGCATGCGCAGGTCCCTATTCTTTATGACAATTCTCCAACAAAGAAAGAAGTTGTACTGTCACTGCTGGATCGGGCCCATTTTAGCTGCATGCCGCCATTTTATTAATTAAAGAAGCATGTGCTCCAAAATTTAGGTGTGGTCGCGCATGCTCAGATCAGATCAGATCTGCAGCTCTGGAAGAAGCAAGCAAATAAAGCTATTAATCAACTGCAACACTTCGTGGAGGTTTCCAGCTAAGAGAAGGTATTATTAATCTTGCATACTATTCTTTTATTAAGTGTGTAATGAATTATTTGATTTCAAAAAACAAACAATTAAATAATGTTATAATAATGCGATGATAATATGACTTGACTACAGCAAGGATTGCAGGGTAGATGGATACTGTCAGAGTGTCACTGCTCCTTGAACAAGGACTCTTGTCAAGACTAGTATAAATTTCACTTGCCATCAGTATAGTAGACATTCTTTCAGCATATCTATTCACTCAATGTTGTCTCTTACAATGCTTTAAATTTAAGACATAACAATGAT